TTGGTTTATGTAGATATCATATCACAAGTAACCGAAAAATAAAAAGGTATTACAAAAATATTATTAACCTACAAAATTACTTATTTATAAGTCTTTTCTCTTTTAGCTTTTCCTCTTTTCTTAGTGTTTACATGATACTTTCGTGAAACGTTAGGTATTGTATAGTAAACTAAACCTTAAAAATGCCAACGAATATCCTTATCTTCTAGAGCATGTGTTATTTATTATCAGCACCGACAAGTAACTCGCGTAACCTAGTTGGTTGAAACTTATAGAAAATTTAAATTGAAAATTTGAGATTATCCTTCTAAATTATCTTTAATGAATTTAAATTTAATGAATCCTATACTTCCTTTTTTGTCAAATACTCTCTTTGTCAAAAACACACCACTAAATTATCTTTTGTTTTACAAAATGACCAAAATTAGCGGCAATATATATTTTAAGCCAACACTTTGACCAATTTTGATTGTTAGTGCACTTTGTCAACTAATCATCCTAAGGGAAAGAAAACAGATCATCGACAAATAATAATTCACATGTATAATATATAATTGATTATAAAACTCAGAATATTGAGCTGCATCCGTCTTTGACTCAAAGGTTTATGATAATAACACATCCTTTTTCAAATAAGAGTACATATTTTTAAAGGTTTTTTTTTATAATACTATATAACAAGAGTTAAAAGTTATCCTGATTAAAATTACTTAACCATAAGCATTTTCATTATTATATTCTTGTCAAATAAAAAATTCTAAAGTTGATTACACTTGATACAAGAACAAAAAAGAAACAAAAATGAATGGACAACAAAGAGAATTTGACTAAATGGATAAAATATAATTTGAAGAAACATGGAACATGACATGGGGAGCACGTACGAGAAGCGGTGAGAGCAAAAGAGAGTGATTCACTTGAAACCGATTTGGTAGTATCTTTTCTTATAAACATGTTCCAATCCAAGTAGTAGTTGTTGGTCACAAATACAAATTTGAATTTGTCTTCACCTCTAATTGCCAAACAACCATATGGTCCATGCATCAATGGATTTTCCTCAATTATTATTTGTTTAGAATATAAAACAATTTTATTTTAAGAAAATACAAATATTTCTAGTGAAGATCCATGACATGACAAGTGCTGATGAAATGGGGATGAATTTTGCATGCTGAAGCAATCAAATAAGTAGCTGAAAGAGTAACACACATGAAAGTGTAGGAGACACATCTCTTATTACAACATCTCTCACTGATACCTTTCTTCTCCCTCTCTCCTCCTCTGCCTTTGATTCTCTCTCTCTCTCTCTCTCTCTCTCTCTCTGAGTCACTACACTCTCTCACCAACCAACCCCTCCTTCTCTCTGTCATTCTCTAAAAAAAGGTCCACTATAAATGAGCCTTGAGCTGTGGATGCTTCTCTGTCTGGTTTTTAGAATAAAATAAAAAATGGGTCTCTAGATTTCAGATTTCTGGGATCTGGATGTTTGATTAGTCTCTTCCATTATTAGTAAGAAAGGTCACTCCTTTCACTCAAAGTTACTACCTTTTTGTTTTCCTGAAAATGGGTTTTGTTTGAAATCTCCCACTTTGAGATTTGGGGATCCTTACCACATTTAGAGATTTCAACTAGGTTTTTCTATTTCTCTACTTGTCAGAGGCTAAAGATGGCTCCAAGTTTGGATTTTTCAGATTGGTGGGCGAAGGACACGAGGAAAGGAACACCAGTTGTGGTGAAAATGGAGAATCCTAATTACTCTGTAGTTGAAATCGACGGTCCAGATTCAGCTTTTAGACCAGTGGAGAAGAGCAGAGGCAAGAACGCTAAGCAAGTCACTTGGGTTTTGCTTCTCAAAGCTCATAGAGCTGTTGGGTGTCTCACTTGGCTCGCCACTGTCTTTTGGTCTCTCCTTGGTGCCATCAAGAAACGGCTTAGTTTCACTCACCCACTTGGCTCTGAGAAATTAGGCAGAGACAGATGGCTTTTCACTGCCATTAAGCTCTTCTTAGCTGTTTCCTTACTGATTCTCGGGTTTGAGATTGTTGCTTATTTTAGAGGATGGCATTACTTTCAAAGTCCTAACCTTCACATCCCCACTAGCACACTTGAGATCCAGAGCCTGCTTCATCTTGTGTATGTTGGTTGGTTAACCCTTCGAGCTGATTATATTGCTCCTCCTATCAAAGCTCTCTCCACGTTTTGTATTGTGCTGTTCCTTATACAGTCCGTAGATCGTTTGATACTTTGCTTGGGATGTTTTTGGATCAAGTATAAGAAAATTAAGCCGAGATTTGATGAGGAACCTTTCCGTAATGATGATGGTGAGGGATCTGGATTTGAGTATCCAATGGTTCTTGTTCAGATTCCAATGTGCAATGAGAGAGAGGTATGCTCATTCAACTTTGGTATATCCAAGAAAGTATTGATCTTTCTCCTGCTATATGGTATCAATTTTATCTCTCAAGTGTAATGATCTTTAGTCTTCTTCTTCTTCAGGTGTATGATCAATCTATATCTGCTGTGTGTCAACTTGACTGGCCGAAAGATCGAATACTGGTTCAGGTTCTCGATGATTCGAACGATGAAAGCATCCAACAATTAATTAAAGCTGAGGTTGCCAAATGGAGCCAAAAGGGAGTCAACATAATCTACAGGCATCGCTTGGTTAGAACTGGGTATAAAGCTGGTAACCTCAAGTCAGCAATGAGCTGTGATTACGTGGAAGCATACGAGTATGTTGCAATATTTGATGCCGATTTCCAACCTACTCCGGATTTCCTTAAACTAACAGTTCCACATTTCAAGGTTGGTATTAGCATTGGTTTCAATTTTCTATCATTGACAAGTGGAGAGAGTGAGAGATTGCTAACATGTTAGAAATGTGGTTTATCTTCAGGATAACCCAGAGTTGGGTCTAGTTCAAGCTAGATGGACATTTGTGAACAAAGACGAGAACTTGTTGACCCGTCTTCAGAACATCAATCTGTGTTTTCACTTTGAGGTGGAGCAGCAAGTGAACGGCGTGTTCTTGAACTTCTTTGGTTTCAATGGAACAGCTGGAGTTTGGAGAATTAAAGCCCTCGAGGAATCTGGTGGTTGGCTTGAAAGGACCACTGTGGAGGATATGGACATAGCAGTCCGCGCTCATCTTCATGGATGGAAGTTCATATATCTTAATGATGTCAAGGTACTACTATTTATCGATTGTTTCTAAAAACCCCTTATTTATGTAACCAAATGAATTAAAGTGGACTGAAAAAAATCTATAGGTCCTTTGCGAAGTTCCTGAGTCCTACGAAGCATATAAGAAGCAGCAACACCGTTGGCATTCGGGACCTATGCAGCTTTTCCGCTTGTGTCTTGGTTCAATCTTGACCTCTAAGGTAGTGGACAGCTCTTTTCTTCTTTTAAGCTCAACTTTTTGTTAATCATCATGTTAATGACCTCTTCTGTTTCTCATTTGTTCTTCTTGCAGATAGCCATATGGAAGAAGGCGAATCTGATACTTCTATTCTTTCTTCTTAGGAAACTCATACTTCCTTTCTACTCCTTCACGTTGTTCTGCATAATCCTTCCACTCACCATGTTTGTTCCAGAAGCTGAGCTCCCTGTTTGGGTCATCTGCTACATACCGGTTTTCATGTCTTTCCTCAACCTTCTTCCATCTCCAAAATCGTTTCCTTTCATTGTTCCTTATCTCTTGTTCGAGAACACAATGTCTGTCACCAAGTTCAACGCGATGGTGTCCGGATTATTCCAATTGGGTAGCTCTTACGAGTGGATTGTCACAAAGAAAGCTGGAAGATCATCCGAGTCAGATCTTTTATCTATCACCGAGAAAGAGATACCAAACAAGAAAAGTCAATTGCTTAGGGGAGTTTCCGACAGCGAGCTTTTGGAGCTGAGCCAACTTGAAGAACAGAAACATGCGGTTTCAAAGAAACCCGTCAAGAAAACCAACAAGATATACCACAAAGAGCTAGCATTGGCCTTTCTTTTGCTCACTGCAGCGGTTAGGAGTCTCTTGGCAGCTCAAGGAGTGCATTTCTACTTCCTGTTATTCCAAGGTGTCACCTTCCTTCTTGTGGGTCTCGATCTCATAGGCGAGCAGATGAGCTGAGAAAAACAGAAAGAAGCTTCATAACTCGGGTCAATAAATCAGTGAGTCTGATTCCCCACTTCCTCTATGTTCAGTGGTATCCTCTGTAATGAGATTGTTGGAACCATAGTGGTAGCATTAATTGATTTTCCGTTTTGTTTGTTTGTTATGTTTGTTTGATTCCTCCATTGTTAGGGATAGAGTGTGTGAGCCAGAGATTCATACATGTATACAATATCTGTAAAGTTGGAACATGTTGTTGGCAGTTAAAAGAGCCTCTGTCTTGGAACAAATTCAAGAACCATGTCAAATCAACTGCGGAGAATTTAAAGCCCAACCTTTGTGGAAAGAGATTGTAACTGTACATAACTGACATGAACTAGTTTTCTGACTAAACTGAAACAAGAAAAAGAGTAATATATATAGTAATCTCTGATGATCTTAGGACATTCTCATCTTAGTGTCGGTGAAAAGTGTAGAAACGTGGAGCAAAAAAAGTGTCGGCAGAGGAAGTGGAATGAGGAGAAGCATAAAGTGTATTGCAGAAAAAAGCAGAGAGGTTTACGTCACATAACAATCAATTCAATGATGTGTAAGTGAAGAATGGGACCAAACAGAATTTAATTTGGTGGGTTTGTTGATGATTCTGGGACCGAACTAGGATCATGATCTTGTCTCTCTTGCTTTTCTAGGCTTTTTATTGTTGTCATGCCAAAACAATGTCTTCGTGTCTACTTTGTAATTATTATTCTTCTTCTTTTTTTTTTCACTTAATTTGGGATTTTATAGTTGCGGAAACGAAACCATAGAGCTAGTTACTCCAATAACAGCAAACCAGATTATATATTCATTCTTCATCTTAGGCAATTAAATTTACTTCACCTTTATAAAAGTGAACAACTTCACAACTCTTTCACTGAAATTAACACAAGCACCAAATGGGAGCGACTGATACCCATTTACAAATCCTTGACTTGCCTCTATAAACCGTGAAATGCACAAAAATCTTTCGAAGGACAAGAATGTGCATGCTAAACACTATCACATAGCTACAATTATGCTAAACCTAATGCCCAACATTCCGACCAGACAAGAGGTGCTTCTAAGTGATGCAGCTCAAGTTCATGCAAAGAAGGTAAACATCACAGCTGATGAAGTTTTCAAGCATTAGAGCATCTCTATGGTCGAAGATGAAGCAGAAGCAAAGCCTTGTAGGGATCCACAACTAAATGAAGCAGAAGAGTAGAGAAGCAAGTAGAAAAACAATGAAGCAGGCCGAGCAACTAAATGAAGATGATGTAGGGATCCACAACCGTGGTTTAACTTTTCCCATAGCAGGCCGAGCAACTAATGAAGATGATTCATAGCAGAAGCAAGTAGATAAACAATGAAGTAGGCCGAGTAACTAAGGGAGATGCTTCATATGAGAAGAGTAGAGAAGCAAGTAGATAAGTAATGAAGCAGTAGTAGTAGTAGTAGTAGACCCGAAGAAACCTCGACACAGTGAAAAAAGACAAGAAACACTTAGGCATTTAGCAGAATTTCCAATCAAATATTATGTCTTTAAGAAACTAGGGTACGAATCAAGTGTTCTTTTACCTATTGGTAGATACACAACTACGTACGCTTCATATCCAAAAGCAAAAGTACCAATCTTTATCCAATCCAGCACACCTAAAACATGTTCTCTTACTGAAATTCATAGATGATAGTAACTTTCCTTAGGCCCTCTCTTCTTCTCTTCCACAGTATCTTCTTCCCACGAACTCGTTTTCTTGCAAAAACACTCAGCTCCTGCTTCTGCGTCTATCTTTCAGTCCATTTCTGCAGAAACAAGAACAAATGTTGGATTAGCATCTGAAGATGCACGTGAAGAAAATGAAAATGTTTATCTATAAGAACAATAACCAAAATCTAAACACTGATAATGATATAGAGACTTGGGAAAAGAAGTTTACCCATTGGCATATGGCACTTCCTCACGTGCTCTGTCCTCACGTGCTCTGTATGGAGGTGGTGACCTACTGTAGCTGCGACCACGGGCAGGAGGAGGAGAAGGACTGCGGCGCCTTGGAGGAGGGGGAGATCTTGCACGAGGGCTGTAACTCCTGAAGCAATAAAACGACGAGTTCAATTAATCTGTTCAGATAAGCTACTAAGGTAACATAATAAAAAGCACCACTGACCTCCGTCCATAGCTTGGGCTCCTTCTGTATCTTGGAGGACTGCGACTACGGCTCCTGCTGCGACGCCTCCCAGTGCCACCACGGTTACGGCATTCACGTGCGAAATGACCAGTCTCACCACATTCATAGCATTTCAAATCAGAAGCACCACGGCCGCCGCCGCCACCTCCACGGTCACCACCACGACCGCCACCACCACGCTCACCTCGGTTGTGTGACTGTTCAACTCTCCAGCCATTCTTGCCTATCCATTATCACAAGATTCATATTGAATAATAATTGGAAACCTCAAAGTATCCCCTTTTAAACATCTGACTAAACTTATTTTGCCATCTAAATGAAAACATCAACTTCTAAAGAGAATAAAGCAAAGTTGAAAGAATATGAATGTATTACCATCTACATCACGGATGGCGTCACGGGCATCCCTAGGATCTTCGAAATCTAGAAAAGCGTAACCAGGTGGTCTCCGAGCAACCCAAACACTGCACATTGAAAGTGAACATTAGAGAGATGAAAAATTGTAGTACGAACTGATGGGATTTGATTCTTACCTCCTGATAACTCCAAAGGTACGGAACTCATCCTCAAGTTCACGCTCAGTAACTCGCGGGTCCAGATTTCCGACGTACACACGCGACATGTCTTCTGTAACCTGTCAATGGCACGCACAATAAACAAGGGTCAACATAATAAATCTTTTCTAGCAGAACATTCGAAAGGATTTGAATTGATCGGTATTGAAACATTAGAAACACAAGAAATCTGTCGATCAAGGAATACACAGTCACTTGATCCACCAAGTGACCTGATCAAATTTGAACAGATCGGATCAAGTATCAACGTTACCACAATTAAGAGTGAGAAGAGAGAAAGAAACTTGGCGCGACCTACCTCGTCCTCGTGGGAAGAGCTGAAAGTACCCAAGCGAAAAAAGAATGGTCGTCGTGAAGAAATTAGGGTTTCTGAATCTGAAATTGACCAAGTACTTTCCCCAGGGTTTTTTGTAAGCCCAAAATTTAATAAAATAATAAAATATACGGTTTGGGCCTATATTTGATATTGTTATTGGGCTCAATACTGGCCTTTCAAAAAAACAATTCTCAATAATTATGATGTCGGTGAGTCAGTGTTATCTTCTCTCTCTGTTAGTTTGGTAAATGTAAAATTTTATGTGTCCATTTTGCTTTGTACTTTTTTGAAAAGAATGAGGAAAAAAGCAAAAAAAATACAACTTAAAGCCTCTCTAGTTAATCACTTTCATTCTACAGCTACTAAATAAACTTCCTTTTCTTATTCGTTTGTAAAGCCAAGCAGTTTGTGATTTGGATCAATAAAAATGCTGAAACCACAATTTGCTTGGTTAAGAAAATCTAAACAATGAATAAAAAAAAAACATAATGTTGGAGACAACACACCACTTTGATGAGCCCATGCTATAACCAGCTGTCAAGATATGGTAAAAACACGTATTAAAGTTAGCAAATGAAGCTACTTGCTACTTGTTCTAGGATGAAAACAAAAAAAAGAGTCAGAAATGAGCTTACGATATTGGAAGTTTGGTCAGACCACGAAAGCAGCCAAAAGAGCATGCAATATCGCCCAGTAAATCATTATCCCTAACCGTAAGGCAGGTTGTCTCATGAGCGTCCGATCACAAGAGACCCTGCAAAAAAAGAGTGATCGATTTTCTTAGATAATAATTTAAGCATTTATAAATCGAATGACATCGATGGGATGGAAAGAGGCTGACCATAAACCATCAACCATGTTAGTGAGGGGTCTTGTGAATCTAGGTATGATTCTTGACGTTGAGAGTGATCTGAAACCATGAGCTAAAAAAGCAGAAAAAAAATAGACAAATGGGAATGTTACTAAGAGAATGTGTTAAAAAGTACTAAATATTCAGAGACAAGTTTAGTTACCTTTATCATCATCTTCTTCTAAGCTACCGCTTTGATCAGTTTGATCTGCATCTATACTAATGGCGACTTGATCCATATTTCCCTTACGCAAACTCCGGACTTGAGATGGGATTGATGTTTTCGTCCACTTGTTTATCTGTGATACCCAAAAATAAAATAAATCCAAAATTAAAAAAATTGAACTCTTGAGGCATCTGGAACGGTGTAACTATCCAACAAGCTCAAAGCTTACCAGAGGTTCCACTTCAACGATCTCTGACGTTGAGCTTGTTGACATATTTGGTTGGGATTCTTTCTCTAGTAAGAATTTCTCAAGAGTTGCTTCTTTCTGTCTGAGCTCTGCCACTCTACTCCTCTCAGCTTCAAGCAACTCGTCCTTGCTTTGTCCAACCAACCGTAATTCGTCTATTTCAGATAGCATAGACGCTATCCTTTTCTCAAATGTCTCCATGTAGTGGTTTATATGACTGTGAGAATCAGTGGAAGGCGAATCTTCTATACCAAGTAGTGAAGCTATCGTGTCGAACAGAGACAGTACAGTTTCCATCTCTTCTGAATCTCTCTTAGTGCCCATCTGAGAAGCAGCAAGAGCCTCATTGGTGCACCTAGTGACTTCTTGTCTTAAGAAAGAAACCTCTGTATCCCGATCTTGCACTTGCTGTTGAAGTTTCTCTATTTCAGAGAGAAGATTTTCAGAGAGATGATGGAGCTCATCGAATTTATCGACAGTAATTGATAGCTTTTTGGAAATCTTCCCACGAGAAGCTTCAGCTCTCTGCAAGTCTAGGTTCTTCTGTTGCACTTCCTGTTCTAATTCTGTAACTCTGAGTTTCAGATCCTCCATCTGAGACTCTTCCTCGTCAAGCGCTTGCATTAAGGCCTCAATTTCTGCAGTAAGCAATTATGTATCAGCTATATATGTGGCGGTGCGAAAACAAAAGGATAAAAGAGAAAAACTGACCTAAGTCTTTCGCAGCTAGTAGATCACTAAGAGATGTGACCTTCTCCTGTAATTCTGAGTGTGACGACTGCCCTGCTAGCAGCTCTTTTACTCTCTCCTTCATAGAATCCCGTTCCCGCACCATAATACCCAGCTGGTCTTGCATATCACGCATTCGGGCACTTACAGATTGAAGATCTTCCGCAAAGATTTTAGCACCAGCCTGGGCTTCCTTAACTTGACCCACAAGTTCATTGCACATCCTATCATTCTGGATGTCCTTTTCGTGTAACTCCCTTTGCAAATTGGCGATGATTACCTTCATCTCCTTTTCATTTCTCTCTACAGTCTCAGCGTTCGCAACAACAAGCTCCTTAATAGCTGACGATAGCCTATTTACCATGGACCTGACAGATTCCATGGACGAAAAATCCTCATCTACTTGGTGGAGACTCATATTAAAATCGTCATTTCCAACAATTTCAGCTTTACGCCTTTCGATTTCCACCAACACGCTAGAACATGCTCCATGAAGCAAGGCAATTCTTTCACCAAGAGCGGCAATTTCAGAGTCCGTTCCTGTTCCAATTGACTTGAAAAAGGTGTCGATACTGTTGGATACAATATTGACCTGGTCGTGCCATGTGGCCAAGTGCTTGCTTACATTCTCTTCGAGATGGCTAACACCAGCCACAAATTGATCAAGGTTTTGGGAGAGAGAACCACAAATTTCGGTTATGTTTCCACCACTTGATGTCTCATGCAAGTTAATGTTAGACCAAGCAGCACTCAAGCGTGCAAAGAAATCCTAAGCAGAAAGGGGAAAAACAATATTCAGAAACAGTCAGTGGCAGAAAAACCTTGAAAGTATACCATAATAAGCTGTTGAAATGATCTAAATACCTTGTCTACAAAAAAACCTGTACTGAGTTGAGGCAAGCCAGACAAATTAGTACCAGTTTGCTTCGCATATGATTCCATATTTGTCTTCAGATGATGCAGAAACTCCATATCCATGGTGAATATATCAGCTAGGCAACTGTTGGTACCTGCGAGTATTTTCCTTAGAGAGTTCACACTGGTTCGACATAACAGCAGTTGAGCATATAGCTTATTCTTTTCTTCGTTGCTGACTGCTGATAAATTTTCAAAACGAGATATGGCTTCAACTTTTGCAGCCTCCGCTGCATCCTTCTCTCTGGAAAGTTGCTGGATTTCATATGTAAATTTTGATAGATCCTCTTGCAGACTATCGTTTCTCTCCTGAACTTCGTTCAACTCAGCAAGTAGCAACTCAGCTGCTCTTCTAGATTTTCTCGACTCCTGCTCAGCAGAAGACACGGCTGTACCCATAGTTTGAAACAGTTGTGAGATCCGTTGAAGCTTCATGACTGGGTCATTCATGTCACCTTCAACACCAATATCAATGCTATTTAAAGCATTCAACGTCATGCTCAATGTACCACTTCTTTCCTGCAAAAGATATTCTGTTTCTTGCGAATGGATTTTCAACAATTGGCACTCAGACTCTAGGGATTCTACCCTCACAGAATAAGATTCCAACTCCCTAAATTTACTTTCATTTTCCAAGAGCTTTTCATCTCTGTTGATAATCTCCGATTTCAGGCGACCAAGCTCAGCGTTCATCTCTTCAATAGTTTGCTTCAGGCTATCCCTTTGCTGGACCAAAGCTTTCCCTTTCCTAACAGCTACATTTAACTTCTCCCTTGCAGAAGCTGACTTCTGCTCTTCTTGTTTAAGAAACTCCTGCAGTTCTATTATTTTCTTATCAAGTGCCTCATTTTCAGCAACCAAGGATTGTTGTTTTGCCATGTACAAATCTCTTTCTTCCCTTGTCAGCTTTTGAACATGCACTGCCTGATCCAGATCTTTTGTTAGGGAAGCTACATCAGGTGTCTCTACGACTGCTATGTCTCTACTTGTTGCTTCATCTATATTAGAATCAGACAATTCAAAATGGTGCCCATGAGAAGTTGCTTCATGTGCGCCAGATGGCTCTCCGCTTCTAACATCAGCATCTGATGGGCGAGTTTCACAGACGTTGTCATTGGTTTCAAGTGGCAAACTAGATTTCACCAAATTCTTATAATAGTCTATCAGTTTTCTCAGTAGTCCATCCAAGTTCTCAGAATTACTTGCTAAAGCCAAATCCTGCAAGCCATCTTCCTGTATAACATCATTAATCATGTACCTCAAACTTAATAAGTCTCCTTCAATAGTCTGAAGATGTTCTTCATTCCCAAGTTTCTCAACCAATTTTTCATGCAAATCTTTCACTTGATTCTGCAGTTTCTCATTCTCAACTTCAAGGTGAATGCCCCTTGCAGAAAGACTTTCATGATCGCCAATCAAACTTTCCAGTCTTTCAGAAAGATTCACCCTCTCACTAACACACGATTGTAGATTTGCCTCGACATCACTTACTTGCTTTCGTGAGACTTCCAAATCAGCAGTTAGTGATTGACAATAGACTTCAAGGTTATCAATCTTCTGTAGGAGATTATCCCTGTCATGTGTAGCCTCTGTAATTGTACTTGCAAGCCATTCAATCTTGTTTTCCACTTCCATGGACTGTAGCTGTGGAGGTATATCAATATTTTCTAGGATTTTTTCCCATCTCTGAACCAAGGTATTCCTTTCCATCAAGGACTGCTCCAGCATTTCATTCTGTTCAGCCAATCCATAAAACTTCCCTTTGAGCTCCTCAAACTTGATCCTTAATTCATCCTCAGAACTTGTGTTAGTTTGTACATCCTCCCTCCACGGCTCTGATAGAACAAATCCTGCACCTCCATCAGAACTCTTCTGATCCCAATCAGAGGGACGCATAGAGTTGCCGTTAGCTGATCTTGCTAACCACTCCACCTTTTCCAATATATCTCGAGCATGAAAATGCTCTGGGAGATCCAAATCTTCCAAAATTTCTTCAATTCTGTGAAGCAGAGAGTCTTTGAGAAGAAAAGATTCTCGCAGTGCAGTAGCTGAGTTTCGGATGTATGAAAGCTCAGATTCTAATGCTTCCACACGTTCACCTGCCTCAATATAGGTCTTAAGTTTTTCTTCAACTTCCACAAGCCTTGCATCCTTCAAATTCAATTCTTCTGAGCACTTCTGCAGTTTAGAGGAGGTTTCGGCCAACGCTTGCTTGACATTGTCACGTTGAACAATCAAACCTTTTCCTTTAGTAACAGCTATGCTAAGCTTCTCTCGAGTCGATAATAACCTCTGCTCTGATTGTTCAAGTTCATCAGATTTATCTTGTAACTCAGATCGTACAGCCACAAGGGACTCCTCTGCCTGGGTTAAATTTTCCCTGAGACCACCTATTTCAGTTTTATGGTGCAGTAAACTCTCCTGAATCTCCATCAACTCATTCTCCTTGGCCTCTAACTGTTTTCTGAGGAGATTAGCTAATTCCTCAGTCTCTATAAACTTCTGAACAAGTTGGGAAACAAGAAACTCCACATGTGAACTAGGAGATTCAAAACTCACTCCACTTTCAAGTTCCAGAACACCCTCAATCTTCTCAACTAACTCTCGAAGTGAAGTGGAATTAAGGCTTCGCTGCGTCAGTTCCTCCATATCGTTTGATTACTCAACAGTCCGACTGTAGCTATCA